ATATATTTTTAACCAAAGGTTAAAATTCCAATAGAGGAATTATAGTGTGACCTTGCGCCCTATTTTACATCCAAAAATAGTACCTATAATTTCTAATATTTAATCACAGTTTCTATATAAGGTATTTTAAGGTGCAGGTTAAATTTCCTACCGAAGGCTTAAAATAGAACAGCATTTGTTGCACGTTTTTCTCATTTTTCTTATTTATTTTTTGACCAACCCGACAATGAACAAACGTTGACGGCCAAAGCTCCTGTCTGCCAGTTTTTCAATTCTCATTTCCGAGCGCCACCAGCAAAGTCAACAAACCAAATTGCCAGAGTGTATGAAAAGTGTTGACAAACACGCGGATGCCGATGGGCGAGTGTGGGAAAAGGGTGTTTGAAACACCCGAACAAACAAAAGACCGGCTGCCAGCCCGTGCAGCAGAGCAGCGGGAAAAAATGATTTAAACAAATGAAAGGAGAAGAAACAAAAACAAAAGCAAAACGAAGCGATTACATAAATTCATTAAAATTAAAATGTTTGCCAAATGGAAGTCATGCAAACAGCAGCCACAAACAAGCAAACAGAAGGCACACAGATAGACGGAAAAGGACTGGGCAACTGGACACCAAGGATGCAGGATGCAGGATGCAGGATGCAGGACGTAGGACGCGGGAGTTGCAGTTGGAGCTGGAGTTGGAATTGGAGATACAGATGGAGCTGGACCATCTATATATAGATGGGGACCGGCATATGCCAGATGTCAGTTGTCGAGGACCCAACGAGTCGAGACGAAATGGAACGCATGCAGAAAAGGAGTCGCATCTCAACTGAAATTAAGCAAAATGCAAACGAGTGAGCTCAAGCAAAAATAACCTTCAAAAACAATCGACCAACAGATACCTGCTACTCTGATTCAATGATGTTATTTTTGAATAGTACAAATCTGGCAGGTTTCCTCAGAAATCGCAGAAAGTGTTAAGTTTTTCTAAAACTTAAAACATAATAGCCTTTGATAAGCCAATAATAAATTTATTTTTAAATGAATACCTACCATCAAATACATTTTCTACATTAACTAGGTGTCACTTACATTAAAGGGCAATCAAGTTAAGATTCACAAATAAGCCCTCTTTCGAAGATTATTTAAAGATACGCTAAGGAAAATCGGAAAAATATCTAAAATATCCAAAGAACTATGTACAAATATTAGGACCAACTAAATTAATTAAACTAAACAAGTGGTTAAACCTGAGAGATCAAGACCAGTCATTCGGCCCGAATTGGAGAATCCATCCGAGGCTGTGGGCCGACTCTGTTGCCAGACAATTCTAGGCCTAGATCCACCGTTCTTGTTGCCATCCCGTAAATCCCCCTGCCTTCTCCATATTGGCAACAATAAAACACTGTGAATGACAGACAGAGGAGTTCACAAGTTCAAATGCAGACGCGGCTTAGACAACAGTCCGAATGTCCAACGGGGCACGATGGGGTTGGATTTTGAGATTAAAGTACAGTGGTTCCTCACGAACTAGAATGGGTCTTAAATGTTTTTCGTTTTTTAATATTTTGTATAATTTATTAAAATTTCTAGTCGAACAAGCCTAAAAATTACAGCATTAGCCACATAAACAGATAAATCAATAAGAGTGAAAAGTGTTTAAAGCATGGTTTAAGTCTTCGCCTAAAAAAGGTTATGTTCAAACTTTTTTTCAGAATAATTGATTTTAAATTTAAAAAAGAACACTCAAACTCCTGTAACATTTGAAAAATATCATTATTTCACTTTTTTGGGGACCACTGTTCTACTGGGCATATGTATGTTATGTAATTGTTTGTTTGTACGTGGGCCAAATTGCAATGCCATTTACAGGAACAACTACAACTGCAACAGCAAACTTCTTTTCAAACTCCTTCTCCTTTTTTTAAGCTTGTTCTTCATTCGCACAAAATGATGCGTATAAAATGCGCATAAATAAAACGGTTGGTAGCCCACAAGGAGAGCCGGAATAAAATGGAAAACAGCCAAAACCCGCTTCGAATTCAAAATGCTCTACCGTTTAAAAAATATATGACAAATAAGATTAAATCGGTTTAAAAGAAGGGTAACATTTTCTAGTTTTTAAAGGTTAAAATTGCAATTAAGATCCTAAATACGGCTTAAAAATAAATCAATAAAACAGCTGTGATCTGTAAAAAAAACCCTAAGATAGTGTTCATATATTACAAGAGAAGGATAGAAAATACTCTTAATCAGTGAGAATGTGAGGATAGGTAAAAAATTCCTTGGCAAAAGGACTTTACTGGCAGAGTATCGGGGGCTTAAGCTAAACGGTACTTCTTCAAAATACCCTAAACAAAAAAGGCCGCGAGGAGTAGCGGATGAAAAAATGCCTGCGAAGGCTGCGCATGCGTGGAGCTTAAATGCTTTTGGCATACGTCAAGTGCCAAGCGTTTCTGTCTCCCTCTGATGGCATCTCCCCGTCTCTCTCTCTGCCGCCTATGCCCCTCTCCCTCTATCTCTGTTCCTGTCCCTGTCCCTGTCCTTGTCTCTTTTTCCTGTCCAAAGTCGCATCCGTGTCTGGGACTTTGGCCCGTGAGCCGAAGTGACGTCTCGTTTTCGATGTTGCCACGGCAACAAAATGTCATTCGTTGCGCCCGTTGCACGCATTCCTGCACCCATCCCCATACTCCCCATTCAAGTCCTTGCACTGCAAACAATTTTTGGTAGTTATATATATTTCTAATATTTTTTTTTATATTTTTAAAAATTTTGAATGGAAAAAATAATTTAACAGTTCAATTTTAGGACTGTCTTCTTTTAATGTCTGGAAAAAACATTTTCAGTGTTAAGCAGTACTGTACTAACTATCTATATAGAACAAGTAAAAATTTCTAATGTTTGTCGTTTTTTGTTTTAGCTGGAATTTTTCTCAGTGTGCATATCCTCATGCGTTTGGCGTTTCGCATTTTTCTTTCCGTTGTCTCCGGTTTTATTTTTTTTCACCGCTTCAATTAGAAATTCATGATTCGTGGCGATTTCTTCATGCCCGTAACGGGCTGATGAGGCAACTCTGCTGTTTATTTTCACTGCATTAGGGTTGCCAGGTCGCCGGGAGGGCGGTGCAGGAAATCGCACCTCTGCCGGGATATTGGATAAATTGAGTATTTGGTTTTGGGGAGTGGCTCAATGGAAATTTATACCAGTCGCCATCATTATAAAGTTTAATTTCCCCTGTCCGTTAGTTGGAAGTTAGCGTTTTTTTTAGGTTCTTTACTGTGCGGGGTCTCAAGGGATTACTTTTTTGAGTTGGTCAAATACTTATCTTTCTTTTAGGACTTTTAAGTGGAAATGAGTTTGGTAACCAAGGCAATTTAAATTTAATTCGTGTGTTTTAATATTTAAGCATTTAATATGATAGGAATCCCAGCCATATATATTGCACTAGTTTAATTTCGATCGCCAACAATCAGAGCAACTAGGCTGGCAAATTGCATTTAATTAACACACAGACTTTGGCTGTCATCGCTCATTATTATCGTCATTATCGCTTGCATTTTGCACTTTGCATTTTGCATTCGAAATGAAGTCATTACAACGCGGAGTCCTCCGACACTCATTACATAATGCTGATAATTTCATTAAATCCGCAATCGCTCAATTCCTCAGCGCCAATAAAAATGCAGCACAGACACTTGATTTTCTCATTTATTGCTGATGAAGTGGAAATGAAAAAGCCGGGCCAATTTGTCGTTTCAGTTTAATGGCGGAAATTGTTGATTAATTTTTTATGTTGCCAACTCGAAAAATGAAAATGAGAATTAGATCGTTAAGAAGCGCTAACATTGTAGTCCACTTGCATTGGGAAATATTAAATTTATGGTACAAGAACGGATCAAAACATGGTAGGGACCCCAAAGAATTTGAAAAAGATGATTAGTGGTGCCATAAATTATTGTTGGCACAGCTTGACACTTTTAATTTCTTTGCAGAGTATGTAAGTTCAAGTTGAAGAATCTTCACTGTAGCCGGCTTTGGGAGAGGGGGAAGTTGTTTAGAGCAGGACTAGAAGCCGGCAAAGTCCCCTCAAAAGAGAGCGGCAATAAAAAGCCATTGAAGTCAACTCTAGTGCAAAAGTCAATGAAACTTTTATTACCAACATGCCACACACACACACACACACCCCGCACACCCCACTTAGCGGCAGGATTAAGGGGGCAACCCCTCCCCACAAAAGAAGTGCAACAAACGACTTTTGTTTCAGGCAAAAGTTGCGTAAAGGAAAATATGTAAAAAAAAAAAACATGGCGCAGTGCATCACACTCAGTCCTTCGCCTCTAGGATTTCAAATCCTCCCTAACCAGGAATGTCAACTCTGAACTTTTTGCAATTAACCCACGAGAAGTGGCCTACATAACCACTAAGCTTATTTTCCGCCCCCTTTTTCAAAGGGTTCCCATTGACTGAAACTCTAAGGAAGACCAGAATATTACCGGGATATTAATAAAGCTGTAAACGATTGAAATTTTAGAAATATTTCAAGTCGAGAAAGTACCATATAAATTCTATATAAACTATGATATATAAACTATGTTTTATAAGCTAAAAACTAACCCTTTAAGTTCTAATATAACAAGATTTTCAAACCCTAAAATTAGTATTAAAATTAGCATTAAGTCCCTATTCAGCTATCAAATTCAGCTATTCAGCGATAAGTTTCCAAAACGCTTTACTTTGTTAGCCAAAAAGAAATAGCCCTTTTTTACTAATAAAACAGATTTTCAAGCAAAAAAATTAGTATTACTTACAACCTAATAAAATTAGCATTAAATGCCTATTCATCAGTTTATGCTTTTAAATTCAGCTATTCAGCTAAATCGCATAACACGCTTGCCAAGCTTAGGGTGCTATAATTTTTCAATAACATTCAATTAAAAATCATTAATTTAATTTTAAGTGCGTTGAGTGACCGCTGTTTCGCCCCAAAGGTCTATAAACTGGATATAAAACTCACCAGAAATTATGAAGTTATCTCCCGCTGTTTTGCATTAGATTCCTATGGGGTCTCTGAACTCTCCTGGCTCCAAATGGCACTCAAAATATATAATTTAATTGCGTAATTAAGCCGCCGGCCTCGACTGCAAATCGAACTGCAATTTAAACTCTAGGGAGTGCTGTTTATTTTTCTTTTTTATCCATATATTTATTTATCTTTTTTCGTCTTCGCTGCGGGTGCACTTGCAGGCTACTAGTTTACTGACAGTTGGCAGTTTTTGATGTCGTTTTACTCATGTTGCTGTCGATCTCATTGAATGCCCACTGGTGTCTGTCGGTTTCTTTAGGTTTCTTTGCATTTTATCATTTTTTTTTCTTACACAGAATTTTTGCAGCTTTCAAAATAAGCCTTAAATGCGAATTTGGCTTAATTGGCATTACATTGAAATGGTTAAAGACATTTTTCTGTGGCACATTAATTTTTGCGGTATTCCGGTTGCACAGCTTTTTTCTATTTAATTGTGGCTTTTGTTGTACACATTTGTGGTATTTTGATATTTTTCATTTTCCAGTTTTTATTGTTATATTTACTCTTGTGCTTAACTAAAATCTCTACTTGTTAAAAATAGTTTTATTGTATTTATTCTAGGTAATTGTGCTGTGATGTTTAAGTGCAGTGCAAGTAAGAAGCGTCCATCTTGTAATTTATTTAACTTTCTTTTTAGTTTTGATATTTTTTTGTTGAAGTTTTAGAGTTATCATCACAATTCTAAAGTTTTTATACATATGGTTTTAATTTTTTTATAGCCATCACAATGATTTATTATTGTTAGGACTTGCATTTAATAAATTTTGATTTTTATTTTGTAATTTTTATTTGATCAAATTTATTTAAAAACCGATTTGAGTTTTTGGTCTTTAAAGTTATCATCACAATTTTATATTTATATTTTCTCGTTCTTTCATTGTTTTAATCTCCATTTTTTAATTGTGGCTGCAAAAACCTAAAACGGACAGAAAAAATAGATTATTATGAGTCCTTTATACATGTCTTCTTGCATTTTTCCCCAACCTTTCTGTCCCCATCCATTATTTATCCTCTGCCCTATAACGTCGATCAAGTCAACTTGGGGGGACCATTAGAGTGGACCGCGAAACACTTAAAGGCCACTTAAGCCGCGGACAACCCACACCACCCCTCCCATCTCCATTACCTTTTGCTCTTAACTTATCAGCATGGCAATTTTTTGCCTTTCCCCCAGACGCCCATATTCCTCGTGTTTGAAAAGTTCTAGGTCGAAATTTTAGTTGCCAAAGGAACCCGCCGTAAAAAAAACCAAAAACAAAATAGAAAGAAAAGTTTTCAAACGGGCCAAGAGAAGGAAGAGCAGCTTAAGATGAAATAAAAAGCGGCAGAAAATAACGATGTTGAAATCACTTTACTTACAAAATGCAATAATATGTACAACTTCCCCACCTTCACTCCACTCCAGACTATAAACATACACGGAAAAAAATTGGATTATTTGGGAGCTTACAAATCACTCGTTTACTTTAGGTATATATAGCTTTATATTTACTTATTTGAAGTTCTTGAATCATTATCATTTCTTTAAATCCGATTAAAATAGCAATTAATCATTCTCAAATTCATTTATTATTAGCACCAACATATATATTATATATTAGTTATATTTAGATTTGATTGGTAAAGACACTATTTCTATTATAATGTAATGATCTATTATAATGTAGTATCAATATATCCATATAATGTTTGTGGTATTGCAATAGTGAGTACATTTTAGAATGAAATTCTATAGGGTATTGGGTGTTCTGAGTGCAGCTTCTTGCCACTCCCACTCCACTCCCCCATCAGTGCAACATTAGTAACGTTTACAGGCTTTTGTTGCGCCTCCCCCTCAAACTTCGAACTTAAAACTAGAGATGGGCGCGTGATGAGCATCTGAACGTGTCACGAGCTTATCCTAAAACTTTTTTATAAGTATTACTAACATCTTTCATTATTAAGCATCTATCTTTTTTATGGACACCCATGTTTATTTTAATAGAATACACTTTGTAACGCGACCATCTCTAAGTAAGCCCCATTCTCGCAGCTAGTTCTTCTGCTTTATCTGGCTGTTGGTATGAAAAAAGCCAAAGGGCATATGTACAAGATATGCAAAATAGGAGAAAGGGAGATGGCAGACGGGCAGGGGCGGAGAAAGGGGGGCGAAAGGGGGTGGGAGAGAGCGTGGAGAGGAGCAAATTGAAAGCCAAAGCGGATTGCCATTACTTAGAAGCGCGTTTCAAGCTTCATTGAGCGCTCTGGAAAAGCGTGGGAGGAAAAGTGGGCGGAAGGGGGGCGCTGGATAGGGGGTGGGAAAAGGGGTGATGCCATTGCAGTTGTAATAAGCAATTCTTGCAACTAAAAGCCGACAGGCAATGTGTCTAGCTAGCAAAACCACCAGCCGCATTCTCCGCAGTGAGGCACTGAAAAGTGCCTAAAAGCTACAGTCCTTGTACTTCTTAATGTAAAACAACTTTTATATTTAATGAGGGAAATTTGAAACTATATTTAATCCTTTTACGGTATAAAAAACCATATCATATGATCATGCATGAAATAAAAACCAATTGTATTTCACTTGGAAGCTGTTCCTAAAAAATGTAAAGATAATATTCCCCTGGCAAGGTGCTCTGCTGTCTAACTGAAATTTACATGGGGGGGGGAGGGGGCCTGTTAGCCCCCCAACCAAAACCCCCTTTTACCACTAGTTGTCAACCAACTTTGCGTTGTGCAAAAGTCAAATGCGCTTATAACACTACACAATACCAAAGCCGCAGTTTGAGTTCGAGCTGCTGGTGCTGCCAACTTCCAGTTTCAGTGATGCCAACTGTAGATTTTCAAAATAGGCTAGCCAAGGAGTTGTTAGGAACATAACTTATGAGATTAACTTTATGAAAACTATATGTAAGCCAGCAATAAGGGAAAGGAAAATTAAAAGAATATAAAACTATCCACTTCATAAGAATGTATATTATGTGCCCCTCTTAACCGACCTTTTAAGACATTACCCAAAAAAGCCAGCCAACTTGGCAACTCTGGCCAACAGTGGAGGTTGGCCACCATGGGCGGCGGGGGGTCAGCAGGGGGTCAAGGGGGTTACAGTACGCCTGGCAGTGACAGCGATGGCGACAGTTGCACTGCAGACTGAGCTTACGACTGCCGGTCGACTAATTGGTTTACTTATGGCCTTTATTTTTTTTGCAGTTGCAGTGGTTGGACCCGAAATGCCAACAACACTTTTTAAGCCATAATTGCGGGGGCGGGGGGAAGGGGGCCAAGGGGACTCCCCCGCATTTCCTGAGACTCAATTTGCCAGGGGAACCCACCAAGCAGTCAAAAAATGGCAAAAATTACGAACCACACACGAGTTAACAATCAATTAAGGTCCGAGTTTCCTGCGATTTTATTTATTTATTTTTTTTGTGTTAACCCATGTTAGCCCGTATACTTGCGCGGGGGAGGCGCGGAGTCAAAGGGTTAAGGGGGCGGGGCAACGTCTGGGCTTATGTTTGCATTCGCCTTTAACCGTTAACCCGTCGCCTTTGCCTTTGACGAATCTCCTTGCCTGCCAACAACAGCGGGTGATTACTTATTTAAAAACTCCATTAGAACACGTTCAATTTCCAGGGGGCGTTGGGAGGTTAAGGCTTAGGCTAAGCCCGTAAGCTGTCGGCCATGAATGTAATCCCAAAAATCAAAATTATCTTCAATTTTGAACTGCACTGGGAGCCCAAAGCCGCACTTCTATAATCCACAACTTGAGTTTTTGGACTCCGATTTTGAAGTGGGATACCTCTATGAGCTTGTGGTTGAATCCCCTAATATTTTACGTTCCAATTTTTCTTTTTAAAGAGGGTCAAAATTTTAACACATTTTCATGTTCAAATTTTCTCTATTTCCCATGGTTTCCGGAATAGAAACCCAAAAATTAGCTTTCAAATTCCATAACTTGTGTAATTGGATCCCGATCTTAAAGTGGGATACCTCTATGAGTTTGTGGTTGAATTCTCTAATATACTACATTAAAATGTACATTTTTAAAGAGGGTCTAAATTTTTACCCATTTTCATGTTCGATTTTTCCTTATTTCCAATGGTTTCCGGAATAGGAACCTAAAACTGAACTTCCAAATTCCATAGCTTGGGTAATTGGATCCCGATCTTAAAGTGGGATACCTCTATGAATTCGTGGTTAAATTCTCTAATAATCTGCATTAAAATTTATTACTGAAGAGAGGGTCTAAATTTTAACCCATTTTCATGTTCGATTTTTCTCTATTTCCAATGGTTTCCGGAATAGCAACCTAAAACTGAACTTCCAAATTCCATAACTTGGATAATTGGATCCCGATCTTAAAGTGGGATACCCCTATGAGTTTGTGGTTTAATTCTCTAATATACTACATTAAAATGTACCTTTTTTAAGGAGGTCTAAATTTTAACCCATTTTCATGTTCGATTTTTCCTTATTTCCAATGGTTTCCGGAATAGGAACCTAAAACTGAACTTCCAAATTCCATAACTTGGGTAATTGGATCCCGATCTTAAAGTGGAACACCTCTATGAATTCGTGGGTAAATTCTCTAATAATCTGCATTAAAATTTATTACTTAAGTGAGGGTCTAAATTTTAACCCATTTTCATGTTCGATTTTTCCCCATTTCCAATGGTTTCCGGAATAGAACCCCAAAAGTGAACTTCCAAATTCCATAACTTGGGTAATTGTATCCTGATTTTAAAGTGGGATACCTGTATAAATTCGTGGTGGAATTCTCTAACAATAAACAGTAAAATTTATTTTTTAAAAGAGGGTTAAAATTTTAGCCATTTCCATGTCCGATTTTTTCGTATTTCCCAATGTTTTCAGAATGGGATCCCAAAACTGAACTTCCAGATTCCATAACTTGGGTAATTTTATCCCGATTTTGAAGTGGGATGCCTCTTTTTATTCGTGGTTTAATCTTCTAACAGTCTATATTGCATATTGTCTATATTTTTTTTTTAAAGAATGTCACAATTTTAGCTTATTTCCATGTTCGATTTTCCCGTATTTTTCACGGCCTTCAGAATGGAAACACAAAACTGCACCATAGCTTGAGTTCCCCCTTGTTATTTCTTGCTTAAGTGTCTCCGATAGCAGACTTACACTTTTGCCAGGCGCTGTCCTTTCCACAGCCAGCTCATTTCTCATTTTCCCATTAACTTGAGCAAATACTATGTCATCATCAAACAAGCCAAGAACGAAGGAGAGCCAACTGGGAAGCAAGGCAGTTTCAAACTCAATTTGCTTGAATTTTGCCAATGAAGATTTTTGGCCTTACCACTTTTACGAGTGGCCGAGATTAATTTCAGTCTCGAACCAGCAATTAGTGTAAACTTAAATATATTAAACCAATAGTTGACAGTCCTTAGCTTAACTTTCTAGAGCCAAATGAAAGCTAAACCCAAATGATTTAGACCTTCAAAAATAAGATTGCTTCTTCTTTGATCAATTATAAAATACAAAAGTGTTAAATTTTTTAAAATTGAGATAGGGCAGTACAAAAATTCAATTAAGCCAAACATTAAATTGATATTTGATATCGTTTTTCCTCTGCTTCGTGGACTATCTTATAAATCGCCGTTGCCATTCTGATGCGTTCGGCTTTG